CTCGGCTCTTGATTCTGACTCCTCTTGAATCTGACCCCCCCTGCTTCTCTCTCTACCCCTACTTATATCTCTCCACCTAGCCCTCGGGGCCCATGCTCCCCACCTGGTCTGGAAGCATAAACAACATAAGGAAGCCCTTCCTGATGGCCTGCAGCCCAAAATAGTTCTAAAGGTGTTTTTCTCTAGTTATTTTTGAATGGACATAGTAAAAGATACATTGAAGCTTATAGGGCAGCTCTCCTGGTAACATCTTGCCACAGACTCAGACTACAGCACTCAGGTCAGGTTAATCATTCCTAACCCTAGCAGGGTCCAAATCTAGTTACTACTTTTTGAATCGTGACAGCATCTGTCCATGACCAAGTTCTTACTTATAGTTAAGCATTAGGCACTTTGGCCAGGCCCATCTCGATGCCAGGGTAGGATAGCTCACCACTTGCCCTGGGTCCACCCAGTCCCTCGTCAGGATCCTGCTTTTGGGGGTGCTAGGAAGGGCAGCTGAGGCTTAGGTTGAGATGCCCAGGGGTAAAATACCATTTAGAGTCAAATGATTCCCACATAACAAAAGCGTAGCATCTTCCTGTGCCCATACAAAAAGGACATTGCTCTGAATATACTATACAAAGGCCTTACGGAGAAGAGTAAAACAGTATTTACAAGTCAACAGCACAAAGAAAGAAGTTACAAATAAACACAGAGGAAAGGGAGCACTGTGATGGGAACAACCCAATAAACATAAACTACCTGAAGCTATGTTATCCTACAGTGGGCTCAGGCTGTGGTGCTGGGAATTGGACCTCCTCAGCTTCATATAATATGGCATGTGTCTTACCCGCTGTACTGTTGCTCCAGTCCAGCCCTTGGCATTTAAACATTTTAGCCATTGTGGCAGTTGTAAAATAGTATTATTTTGTAAAGAAAACAAATTATGTCATTAATTCAGTTACCATAGTATTGAATGCTATCACCTCCATTTCTACCCATTCCACCATTTTCACATGGTTTCATATCGTCTTTGCAGCTGCTTGAAAGGCCAACTTCACGAAGTGATGCCATTATTGAAAGGAACGTGGAGTGATTTCAGGTGTAAATAGAATGACCTAGGACTTGCAATTTGTGCTGGTTTTCCCTGAAAGTTAAATATATCCCATATCCCATCCATACTTGCAAATTTGTTGGGGTGCCCTCATGGTATGAGCTATAGCAATGAATCACGGTCACCCCTAGGGAGTAGAAGTTTCACATGTTTCTTTATACTTTCTGGATTTTCCTTTTTTTTACCCCAGCTTGCTGTTTTGGGACTGTATTTGGTGATGTCCAGGGGACCGACCATGCAGTGTGCTGTGGAACCCAGGCCTCTCAAATGCAAACCATGTGCTCAGCCCTCTGAGCCATCTACCTGGCCCCACATTTTGGTTCTATTTTTTTTTTTCTTGGCGGGTTGTGGTTTGGGCCACACCTGAATTAAAAGAGCCTCACAGATGTAAGGCAAAGGACCCTATTGCTGAGCCACTTCTGGGCTGACATAAGTGTTTGATCTCAGTATTGGTTGATTCTTGGGTTTTGGGGACATATGCAGCTGTGCTAGAGGGTGTTTTGTCTCATTGCTTGGTACTCACTTCCATGAGACTTAGGTGAGCAATGTGGTGCTGGGGATTGAATCTGGGGCTCTCTAAAAGCATGCAAATTTGAGCCATTCAAATATAGCAAATATAGCACCCAATACTGTGGTAACTGAATTAATGGCATAATTTGTTTTCTTTACAAGTTAACACTATTATACATATATGAAACATTTTATGACTTCCCAGTCCTAATACATAATATGTTTAGAAGAATTTAGCTAACGTCCATTCAGCAGGTCTGAATAATGCTATTTCGTAAAATGTTGTTGCATTATAAAATTAAAAAAATCCTGGCTGATGTTGAAGGAAACCTCTTTTTTTGTCTTGTTTTTGTTTTGTTTTGGGGCCGCGCCCAGCATTGCTCAGGGTTTATTCCTTGTGCTGCACTGAGGAATTCTTTCTGTTGGTGTTTGTGGACCATACAGGATGCTGGGGATCGAACTGGGGCCAGTATGTGCAGGGCAAGGGCTCTACCTGCTGTGTTATCTCTCCAGTCCAAGAAACCTCATTTTAAGGGACCTTTTTCATTCTACATTGTTTGGTTTGGTCTCAGCTGCCAAGCACCCATCCACAGTGCCAAATGGGGAAGGGACTCCCTTGTACCTTTTTCCATTTTCTTTTCCCTTTTCGCCCCTCCTGCAGTGGTTAGGGTCACTCTCTAAGGTACTTGGAGGATGTGTAATACTAGGAATCGAACCTGGGGCTCGTCTCTGCAAAGGGTCTTCCTTTTTGTCTTCTTGCTGTCTTCCTGGCCCCACACCCCTCAGCCTTAAGTTTTAATCTAATGTCCTTTTTCTGTTCTACGCAGAGTACCGTGCATTGCCGAGTCAATTTTTAAAAAATTTTTTATTCTAATGTAGATAAAGGCCACAACTATTGATACAGTTCTATAATTGAACTTGATCAGATAATAAAGCTCCAATATTAAGATCAATAAGCTTCAAAAAAATTTTTTCTTTTAATGTGAAAATTTTCTATCTCCTCAGGAGGTTGTTAAGTCCTTGTCTAAGGATTTACTAACCCGCTTGTGGCTAGTGAGGCTTCTGTGTTGCTGTTTCTGTTTGCTGGGTTTAGTTGGCTTCCCTTTTCCTTCCCTGCTCCTTCCGTTGGGTCCGGTGTGCTCCTACTGCAGGTTCAGTACTGAGGAGCTGGGAGTTGGGGTAGACCTGAGGCTTCAGGTTCAGTGGCTTGGGCCATGAGTGAAGCCTGTCCGCAGCTGTGGGGTGTGCTGAGGCTGCTCTCCTGAGGGCGGCCCAGAGTTGGCAGCCCCAGGGGCCGGGGTGACCTGCGTGTCCTTGGAGAGTCAGTCGGGAATTGGTGGAGCGGGGCTAAAGGGTGAGTGGGTATGGCGGTGGCTGTGGCTGGTGACTGTGGCCCTTTATTTCTGCATCTCCACAGCGTCTCAGAACTTTGTTATTTTTCAGAAGCCTCCACAGTTTTGAGGAGCATTTATCAAGTTGTTACTTGTCTCTGAGTGAGAGCAGCTCCTGGTGGGGCTGGTCTTCTTAGGGTACCTCACTGGAAGGTCACTGTGAATTGCTGCTTGGCACTGTGGAGTCACCATGCACATCCGCAGGGCAATGCAAATTGTTTCTGCTCCACTTTCTTGAAGGCAAAGTTCAGCTATATTTAAAAATTATTACTTCTGTTTTCTTTTGGGGCCACACCCGACAGTGCTCAGGGTTTACTCCTGGCTCTGTGCTCAGGAATCATTCCTGGCAGTGCTCGGGGACCATTTGGGAGGCCAGGGCTCCAGCCCGGGTCTGCTGCATGCGAGGCAGGCACCTGTCTCTTGGGTCCTTCTCTCTCTTCTCTGCGGGAGAGATGGAGGTTCCTGTCTCTTCAGTCCTTCATTGGACTGCCTGCCTTGGACACCCAGACAGACATTGCTCCAGGATGCTGTTGGAAGTCAAGGCCTGAGTATCTATTTCAGGTTTCTGTGTGCCTGGCGCTGTAGGGGTGCAGGGTGGTGAGAATCTGCATTCCTCTGGCTTCTGGTGTGTGTGTGTGTGTGTGTGTGTGTTTATTTGCACACCCTCTGTCACTTGATAATGCGTGCAGCACTAGCCGGCAGCAGAGTTTAGTTTACAGAGCTTGGAGTACTGACCTGCTGATGCCTTCTCAGGACAGGTTGCTCATTGTTAAGAGGTTGGGGTCTTATTTTAGTGTTCTGTTTATTTTTATTTGTTTCTACCTTTTGCCTTTCTCGTCTCCGTTGTTGTCTTTGTGGAGGTGTCTGGGGTTGCACCCGGGGGTGTGTGCCGAGGTTCCTGTCCAGGCTTCCAGACTCACGCCTGAGGCGGGCGCTGCCCTCTGTGGATTCTGGGTTGGCCTTCCCCTGCCTCCCTGCTCCTCAGCAGCCTGCTCGTCTCAGGGCTTTCCCGTCTGACTGGGCTCGGGGGTCTTGGCTCGCTCCCCCCTCTTCGTGCATCTTTGTCGTGTGTCTTCAGTATTTTCTCCCATGCGTGTGTTGCTTGTCATCAGTGGAATACTCAGCACCTGGCCAGGGAGCGCAGCACGCTGTCCCCTCTCTGCCGCTTTCTCCTCTGCCGTGTTCTTTTCTGGATGCCGCTGCCTTGGTCCCCCTGCCTTCCCATTGCCTTCCTTTCAGACTGGGTCACCCCGCAGCCAGGAGGGCCAGTTGCCCCGTTGTTTGACGTTCATATCTTGAGAGCCCTCTCTACCTTACAGTCATGTGGTCTCCTTCACCTGCTTTTCTTTTTCCCCCAAAGGTTCACATCCAGCAGTGTGTTGGGGGTGGGGCGTGAGGGGTGGTTGGGAGGCAGGCGACTCCTAACTCCATGCCCCCAGTGGCATTTATTTCTTTTGATTGGTTGATGTAGAGGGATAAAATCTAGTCCCTATGAATTCTTATTGGCCAGTGGTAGAAGTCCATGATATTTTAGAGGATGGGTGTTTAATTTTATCAGATGCTTTTTCCTTGTTTATTGAAGGAATCCTGTTTTTTTTTTAAATATGTATTGAGTTTCATTGATTTTCTTTCTAATATTAAATCGATTCTTGTATTTCTTGCTTAGTCATGGTACTTTTATCTTTTTTTTCGTGTATTGCTGTATTCAGTTTTCTAACTTTTCTTTTTTTCTTTAGGATTTGTACATCTCTGTTTATATTCATATATCTTTTGGGCTGACATCAAGGCTATCTGGGTTTTATAAAATGGATCGAGAAACTTTACCTCTTCATTTTTAGAAAAGTTTGCATAATGTTGGTGGCTTTTTTTTTCTTTCCATAAATGGGTAGACACATTCTCCAATGAAGCTATGTGGTGGTTTCATTTGGGAAGCTGTTTATTTATAGATTTGTTTCATTAACAGATATAGGACTATTTAGATTCTCCATTTGTTTTTGTTTCAGTTTCAGTCTGCTGTTTTTCTGGGAAGACAAATGATATGTTCAGGATCCTGCTTCTGATAATGAATAAACTTTCCAATCCTGTCCTTTTTGAAACTGTGCCATGCTAGCATAATATATACTTTGCAGTTGTATCCTCTCCACTGGATTATAAACCAGCAGGTAGGTTCTCTATCTGTTAAAACTTGGTATAATTTGAGCCTAGGGCCAGATGGAGACTTGAGTTAAACTGAAGTATACTGAGTGTTTGCATTAAGATTTTAAAAGGGGAGAATTTGACTTAAATATATAGTTGCTTTGGTTCTGTAAAGTTCATTTTGGCTCTGTAAAAATGAGGCATATTTTACCTATTGCTCAAATGGGTTATTATTGCTGATATTGAATAAAAAGGTATAATTGATGAATTGGAAATGCAATTCTTGAACTTTTGAAGTATCATTTATAGTACTGCAATGATTTTTTTTCTAGGCTATACTCATTTTTATTCCCTAACACCTGCAGAATTGGTATCTGCCTATAATTCTTGGGCAATAGAAAGAAAAATTACATCATTTTTCCATGTCATGTTTAGTTACAATTTTTTTAAAAAAAATATGTTTCTGTTTAACAGAGAATGTATCTTGAATTATTTGGTGGGGATGTGGGTCATGGGCCACACCTGGCAGTTCTCAAGGACCACACGTAGGGGTTGAACTGGGGTTGGTCTTATGCAAATCAAGCCCCTTAACTCCTGTGCTGTCTCTCAGGCACCTTGATTAAATTTGTTATTGGAAATTTTAATGAATAGTTAATATTTTTTATACCATAAAATGTGTTCATCGTGTTCTAGAGGACAGTCTTTGCCTGGAAAGCTTAGCAGGCTGGAGTATGTACTTGGCAGGCATGAGAACCAATGGTCCCCAGCACTGCATGGTCTCTTGAGCACCACTAGGACTGACCCCCATGTGCAATGGGGCATAGCCCCTGAGTGCTGCAACAGTGTGGCTCAAAGAGAAAAACAGAAAGAGTAAAAGAAAAAAAAATAGGCGACTTAGTCTAAGATTCACACGTTTGGGAAGAATGTGAGTTTGAATGGAGAGAGTTCAGTTGAAGGTCTGCTGTTATAAAATATGTAGTTCGTTGCCAAAAGAAATATTACCTAGCAGCAGTTTAAATGTGCCAGGAGAGGCCAGGGAAGGCCTGTGGTGGAAATTGTACAGAGGAGCTATCAGCCTAGTTCCCTAAGAGTTTCAGATGGGAAAGAAAAGTTTATGATGCTAAAGAATTTTATGGATGGCTAGTCCATCAGAAATGAATCTTCAATGCTCGAATTTTTTTAAATATAAGTTTATTGTGTTCTTGTGCTTCTTGTACTGCATAGACATAAAATTAATTATATTTATGTACTTTTATAATTTTGGTTTATTCAATTATAGTTTAGGTTACTTATTTATAGTAGCATTAAAATATGTGTATGTGTTTGTATATACATATTTTTGTTTGGTTTGATTTGGGGGCCATACCTAGTGATACTCAGGGATCACTTCTGGCTCTGTGCTCAAGAATATATTCCTGGGGCCAGAACAAGCACAGCAGTCAGGGTGTTAGCCTTGCACATGGCCAACCCAGGTTCGATCCCCGGCATCCCATATGGTCCCCCGACCATCACCAAGAGTTAATTCCAGAGTGCAGAGCCAGAAGTGACCCCTGAGCATCTTTGGGTGGGACCCAAAAAGAAAACAAGTAAATACATAAAAGAATATACTCCTGGCAGTGCTTAGGGGATGGTATGGGATGCTGGGGATGGGACCATTGTCAACTGTGTGCAGGGCAGTCCCCCTCCCCGCTGCTCAGGCCCTAAAATGTCTAATTTTGATGTGCATACATCCCACACCTCACTACCTCCAAAGCCCAAGACCCTCCACCTATGTGCCTGGGTCACATCAGGTTCACCTTTTCATTCCTTCCCCTGGCCCCCTTGCTTGGTAATCCAGGCCAGTGGTTTGTTTCCATTGATATTGTCTGTTCTCTTGATTTGTTTTTCTGGGTACCACAGGTGAGTGAGATCAGCCAGCATTTGTTCTTTCTTTGATTGCATTTTCATGATTCCTCTCATTTCTGTTTTAATGAGCTACAAGAGCCCATCTTTTCTTGGGGCTGTGTAGTATTCATTGTGTATGTTTACCACATTATTTATTATGCCTATCATCAGACATGTTTCAAATGCTGGCCATTATACAAAACACTGCCACGAATATAGGTGTGCATCCATCTTTTCAAGGTCAGATCATGTTTTTGTGTTTTGGGGGCAGAGCCCAAGAAGTGCATTTCTGGGTCTTATGAAAGTTCTGTTCTTTTGAGAAATCTCTTTCCTATTTTCTGTAGACGCTGAATCAGACAACATTCTCACCAACAGTTAATGAGGGTTCCTTTTTCACACATCCTCACCAGTACTGGTCGGTTTCAGTCTTTTTGCTGTGTGCCATTCTCACTAGTGTTGGATAATATCTCATTGTTTTGATTTGCATTTTCCTAAGTGATGAAGAAACACTTTTTCCTGTGCTTACTGGCTGTCCATATGCCTATTTATCTCTTATTTACATTTTTGTTTCTTTCTTTTTTTTGTCCTGTGTTTAGGGGCCATACCTGATAATGCCCAGGGATTACTCTTGACTGTGCTCAGGGATCACTCCTGGTGAGGTTTGGGGGACCACAGGGATTGATCTCAAGTCAGCTGCATGCAAGGAAGCCCTTCCTGTTGTACTACTTCTCTAGTCCCTTGAGATTTAGTTTTTTAGTTCTAAAATGTACTTGATTATCATCTTCCCAATTTATTATAAGTTGAAATTTACTTTTTGTTAAAATAATACTTTCCATGTGCATGCACATTTCTCTTTTGATATTAAAGAAGCAGTAAAGATTGTGGGGGTCAGAGTGATAGTATAGCGGGTAGGACACTTGCCTTGCTCAGGGCAGACCTGGGTTCAATCCATATGGTCCCTTGAGCCCGCCAGGAGTGATCCCTGGTGTAGAGCCAGAAGTAAGTCCTGAGCTCTGTCGACTGTGGCCCCCAAACAAAACAAAAAAATAGTAATGATTGAGACTGTAAACATAAGGAAGTGAGCCAAGTTATTGCTCAAAGAAATGAATGCATGCTTTGCCTGCAGGAGGCCCTGGGTTCAGTCTCCAAAACACCCCTGGGAGTGACCTTTGTGCACAGAGCTGGGAAAACCCTCCAGCACAGACATGGCCCAAAAATAAGAATAAAAGGAGAGTGAGTGAGGACAGAGCTGCTGATTAGAGATTTAATTAAAATTTGATTGAGACTTGATGGAGGAAAAAGTAACTGACGCAGGTGCTAAAAATACTTTTCAGGAATTACCTAAAGAGGCAGTGCCTGCAGGAAGCACACTGATTCACCTCACCAATTTTCTACAGGCACCAGGTTTTTTCGGAGGTAGGAGTAAGGCACTGAGCTGAAAATGGGGCTCTGATTTGAAGTCTGTAACTTGAAAGGTCAGATCTCCCAGTCCCCTGTTTCATACTAGACCACTGTCTCCCCTACCCACCTCCGCTGTCCCCAAGCAGCTGAATGTGGCGGGGCCGGGTCTCTATCAGGAGAGACCATTTGGGAAGGAACAAGTGAGTCACAGCCCTGAGAGAGGGAGAGAACAATGATATCCCTCCTCGCCCTCGTGTCTCAGACTTTGATCACAAAAGCCAAATAAGTCTGAGAACAGACTGTCCTGAGATTCGAAGGTACCTGATGGAAGAGATGCTTCCTTCTAGGGAAGCTTGTCCACACCAGAGCTACCCATCACATCTTAGTGCCGCATTCCTAAATTGGAACACACCCCAAGATCATGAAACATAGGAACATTCCTTCAAAACCGTGAATAACATGTCGAGATTAACATGCTTAGAAAGAAATCTGAGGCCAGGACAGTAATGCAGTGGGCTGGAGCACATGCTTTGCACACAGAAGGCCCAGCTTGATTCCTGGCACTTCATAGCCCCCTTACATGACACTGCCAAGCGCATCTTCTTTGGAATATGAGCTATCTCTTTTCCTTTTCTTTTTGTTTTTGGGCCACGCCTGGTGGTGCTCATGGCTTACTCCTGACTCTGTGCTCGGAATCAGTCCTGTATCTGGTGCCCTGGATTGTGGACAGGCCCGAGTGAGCACAGACAGGGCAAGCATCCTACTCACTTTGCGCTCTCTCTTTGGCCCTGAGTGTATGAATATGTTCTGGAATTAGATAATAGTGTTTGAATTAGGTAAGAGTATCTAATGCAGAACTTGGTGAATATACTAAAACCCACTGATTCATATGTGGTAAAGAGCTGCGTTTTAACTCAAGCTGTTATAAAGAAACAACTGTTATGAATGGCTTCCTTGAATGACTAATTATGGGTTGTTTTGTGTTATGAGTCCATGGATTGGAATCATAAAGCTTTTAGTCACCTCCAGACCAGGTGAGACAGAGAAGCCCTGGAGGAAAGTATTGTATGATCCTGCAGCAGGCTCCAAATAAAAGTTGCTTTTCAGAGTTGCTACTGTGTGGTCAAATACCAGGTAATATTTGTTTTATTTAGTTTAGGGGTGTGTGTGTGTGTGTGTGTGTGTGTGTGTGTAATTAAAAAATTGTTTTGTTTTGTTTTGTGTTCACACTCTTCTATTCTTAGGACTTACTTCTGACTCTGTGCTCAGGGATCACTCCTGGAGGGGCTTGGGGGACTGTATGGGGTGATAGGGATGGAATTTAGCTTGGCTGTATTTAGTCAGCCTGTACTGCCTCTCCTGATTCTGAGTAATGTACAACATTAAAGATCTCTTTCCCGTATTAGTAAGTGTTTTGGTTTGTTTCTCAGTGAATGTGTTGGGAACTGCAAAGATGATCTGGCAGGCCAGATGAGGGCATTGTGCTCTGTCTGAATTTTGTAGCCTAGAGAGAGTGATGAAGGGGTAGGGGCCAGATCTCCAAATGTCACTGCCTTCAGATGCATTCAGGATGCTTCTCCTTTGAGATCAGCAGGTATGTTATAAAGCTGGGTCCAGCCACATAGCGTGTGTACCTCATATGAGAAATTTCTTTGTCATTTCTCCAGTTACTTTTGCCAGAAGGGTTTTAATATTGCAGGAAGAGTATGATGTCAACTCTTTTGTCTTTTTTTCCCCTGTT